GCCGCCGCGGGCCGCGTGGAGAAGGCCGCAAAGATGCTGCCAGCGGGTACTGCAGACTTCCTAGTGGTAGACCGATACTCGGAGGAGGCACCTGATTTGCCCAAGGTCACTCAGGGAGTGGCCCAGAAAGGACTAGCGGACCTTCCGTGATGTCCTGGAGCAGAGTAATAAGTTCAGTCTTTAGCGGTTTCGAGCGTCTAATCTCTTTGCTGGTCACCTTTTCCATCCTCTCCCGCCCAGCCGCTGCTGGAGTCTTGCCAGACTCCTTAGAGCACCAAGTGTTTTCTAAAGTCTTCCAACCCAGGTCATCTAGGAGTCCTCCTTTCTCCTGTTTACCGTGCAAAGACGAACTTCGCTACACTTTAGTTCTTCCTTTTAAAGTGGAGGCAGTAATCGTACGTACTCACCGGGCTGTTGGGACGATTAGAAGACACAATGCATATAAAAGCGTTTGCTGGGATGTTTGGCGCCTGCCCAAACGGCCTAACTGCTCTCCTCGGTCGTAATCTTAACTGAGGCCCAGAGAATGAATATTTGACCGAGGTCACACCGTTGGAACCTCAGAAGGTTCTAAAACTCAGACCTCCTGAGTCCCAGCCCTCAACACGAATTCTCTTTTACAGCATGGGTTGTTTCAGTTGCCCTGTTCATAAGTCTTCAGCCGTTCCCCATTAGATTCCAAAAAAATTTAGCACAGACTTGTCAGCCTGGTGTCCCGAATTGGAGTTAACTTCCTTTTACAGATATTTCCCTCAAATAAAACACTGTTCTTCCAACTCGCTCTTTGGACTGTGCTGTTGCGCGCAGCCCCCTCTTTTATCACTCACCCCCACACCCATTTTTAGTGTCAAAGTATCCCCATCTTTTAGAACTCAGTTAAAGTCCCTTAATACATGAATCTCCTTATCTCCCCTCATTTCCTTGTTTTATATGTTACCAGCTTCCTTCACATTTTTACTCTGGTGCCTTGTTTTAGCTCTATTTGCATTTTTGACTTATCCTTTTAGACTCGCAGTTTCTGGATGTTAAGGCTGCATCTTACTTGTCTAGCATCCCTTGTAGCATCTTGACAAAGTAAACATTCATTCTTTTATTCAACTAATATTTACCAGTGGTCAACTATGTGCCTGGCACAGTTGGTGCTAATTGTACAGGGAAAAAAGTCTCACTTTTATTGAGCTCTTTTGACACTAAATTTGCTGCTCCTCTGATCAATGTATTGACAGAAAATGATTTCAGTTCTTTAATTTGACCTTTACACTCCACTAGTGAGTGTTATTTGAATTTTAGGATCAGAGCTCATAGTAAGAAAACATTTCATATTTGCTGTCTAGTTTATATGTGAAACAAATGTTTCCTAAAATAGTATTTACCAGGAATATGTATTACGTTTTCTTATGTTTTCAGTTTGAGTCTAGTCTTTATCGCTTTAAAGATGCTGTTCATAACTCATTAGATTTATTTCCTATCCTCTTTCTTCAGTTAGCACTGCCTTGCTCAGTGCTTGGCGTGTGGTGTTTAATAAAATTTGTTGACTTACTAGTAAACTAATCAGCTTAAAGGTCAGAAGCTAGATCCAAATATTTTTTAAATTCATTTCCCGAACTACTTATCCAGACACTGGAATGTAAATTCTCTGAGGGTGAGGATCTTGTAAGTGCTTGTCACACAGTGGGTAGATATTGGGTGAATGAATGAATCTCTGTGCATGAAACAGTTAATTTTAGGACATCAGGCTTTAGTGCAACTGTAAAGACGTCATCTCTTGAACTTAAAGTCTAAATTTCACATTTTAGAATGTAGAAGGATCTGGCAGATCTTTGATGAAGCATGTTTCATGCTTTGTGATTTTAGGAACCGTAATGAAATTTTTTTTTTAGCATAACAGAATATAAACTTTATGCCAGATGAAATGTATTTGCCAAGCATTCAGATTAAGAAGAATGACTATGGGCATATATTCTTAACCGTAGTGTATATATTTTGCATACACAATCTGGACAGCTTTAATATACTTTTTTGCACTATGTGGACTTAAATATTCAGAAAGCGTGTACATGAAATGTTGCAGAAAAAATTTCCTATTTTAATTTGTTTATATTTTTGAGAAATAGAATAATGATTCCATTTTTTATGTATTATACAACAAAAGTGAAATGATAATTATGTGAAATAAATCCTGTTTCTTTGCCCAGCACTGTCTTCCCCTTTTTACTGATGTAAACGTCCCACTTCAACCACTGAGGGAAGGGTACTCAGTCTGTCTTGTTCACAGCTGCATTCCCTGCTCTTTTAGCCTGGTGCTCAGCTTACAGTAGGCACTCAGTAGATATCTAGTAAATGTAAGAACAACAAAAAAATCACTCACTCTTCTATTGCATAAATATTTGAATACTTCTGATGTGCCCCAGCAGATAAAAATAAGAAAAAGAAAGAGTATGTGCAAAGGTCATAAACTTGTAAGAGGTGTCCCTGTGAGGGAGGGGCTGATGCTGCCTGAAGAAGTCAGGCGTGGCTCACAGAGGAGATGACATTGAAGATGTTTCTTTAAACTCCTTGCGAGGCTCGTAATCCTGGGCAGAGAGAACAAGGTGTGCACAGACATGAATGCGAGGGTCAGGGGAGTGGTGGGGGTTGAAACTGGGATGGCAGACATGGGCTGTATGGTGGAGTTGCTCGCCTGTCCTGCTGAGGAACCTAGATGCATCCTCTCCCCCAGGGCACTTGGAGGACCATCAGAGTCTTTGAGGCAAAGAATGGAAAAGAGGACATGGTACTGTCAGGTCATTGCCTTTCCAGAGAACCAACGACATTATGGAGGATGTGCTGACAAGAGGCTGTTGGATAGTCCAGGGAATAGGTGACAGTGGCCCAGAGTCCCTGTCGCTCCACGTGCTGCAGAAGCCAAACACTCCTGTGTGCTTCAGAGGTGCTTATTTGTAGAGAACTAGTGGAGTGAGGAAGCAGCCTGATAGTAATGACCATAGATTTCCCCACAGTCGCCTGTTTGCACCATCACCTGGTGCCACACTGGACCTTCTGAATCCACTTCCAGGAGTGTCTGGGAATTCCTGTGGTTACGCAGTCATGTGTATAATAAATATGTAATATCAGACATGTATTATACGTACTATTCTATCATTACGTCTCCATAATTGCTGTCATGGAACCTTTATTCAGAATGCTTTTGAGACAATGTCAGTTCAGATTGAAGACAGTGACCTCTTCCTGGCCGGCCCACGTTATGAGCATATGCCATTCCCCTTCGTGTGTGAATGAAACCTTCTGAACCTAAACAAATCTCTCAGGGTCCAGAAAAATATTTTTTAGTAATTTGGTTTGTCAATGTAATTATCCTAGAATGTATCCAATTTTGATTTAAAAGATTAGGGTACTTTCTGTCACAGGAAAGGAAATTTTTTTTTGTCTTCAGATGGGGCTCAAGTGTACAGAACTAGATTAGATATAGCCCTCAGTTTATGACACGGTCATCATAGGTTTGTGCCTGACCCTTTAGTTAATTAATTTTCACCTTTGTTTTCTGTATTAACCACACACTGGGCAGGAGGGGGCTCACTGCCGGCCTGAGGCTTGTACTTCATCAGGAGCTCACGCTGCCCGTGTGCGCCCTGCTCTGCTCCTGCCGCCAGCGCCAGAGGGAGCCCCGGCACTGAGCTGTCTGGAGCACCATCTGAAGACAAAAAGGAGAGATTTTGCTTTTTTTTAAATGTAAGCCGATTTATCTGTGGTTCCTTCTTCCCCTTCAGAGTCTAGAGCCTCTCCCAGCCAGTGGACCTGAGTTTGGAGGATTAGGAGAAGAAGCTGAGTTTGTTGAAGTTGAACCTGAAGCTAAACAGGAAATTCTTGAGAACAAGGATGTGAGTATCCTGCGGAGGCTCCGCTTTGTTGTGGCTGGAAACACTTGCTCCGCAGGCCGCGGGGAAACGGGAACCTGCGGTGGCGCCTGTATCAAAGACAGGTTTGCAGCCAGCTGCATTTTATAAAGACTGGTGGCTTAGAAAAATAGTTTCTGATTTTTAGAGAAATAGTTTTTCCTTGGTGATTATTTAAGTGAGAAATTTAAACAAATTTTTGTATGTATGTTACAAAAAAACACCATTTCAAAGAGATTCAAATTGTGCTTAAGTTTATACTTTGTTCTCTGCTCCCAGACGAAAGACCCTGGGTCTTGAATGAAACTTTTTAAAAAACTTTGTAGCCTTTGAAATGGAATACAGTGGAGGAAATGTCAGGACATTTTCATTAATTGTTTAATTAAGACCTTCTCGCCTGTGAGTCCTGCGTTTCCCTGACACCACGATCCCGCCATGATGTCTCTGTGACTCACTGCCATCTGCTGGACGATGCGCTTTGCCTGTTTCTACCTCCTTTAGAATATAAGCTCCACTGAGACAGGACTGTTCATGTTTTGCTCACTGCTGTGTTCTCAGTGCTTAGAACAGCACTCGGCTCACAGATGATCAGTGCGTTTCTGTTGAGTGAAGTAGTTAAGCAAACACTTGTAGATGAAGGTGGCGGATGTGGGCTCTTGAGCCAGCATTAACCATGCCAGACGCAAACCCACCCCGGATCTCTGGCCAGATACACACGGTGACAGATCATCCAGGGGCCAGGGCTTGGGGAGCCTATGGGAAGGACGTAGAGGGGACCTCTGCACCCTCCGGGGTTTAGGGCTGACCTACAGAGACCTTGCAGGCCTCGTTCACAGGAAGTACAGCCCTCACGAAGGGTAAGCTCCTGGGACCAGTTTTTTGAAAAGGTGTGGAATTAAGAAGTATGGATTGTTGAACGTGAACACAAATCTCTGAAGTTAATTTTAGACATTTGTCTTTAGCCTCAGTGCCTAATCTCTCCTGCCTTGTACTTAATAATCTGTGTCCCCTTGTCACATGTAGGTGGTGGTTCAACACATTCATTTTGATGGACTTGGAAGAACTAAAGATGACATCATCATGTGTGAAATCGGAGATGTTTTTAAGGCTAAAAACCTCATTGAGGCAAGTGTCCTCTCTGCTTGGCCTTCTTTCCTGTTTCCTTCTGAAGATCCTGGGAGTGTCTGTCTGCTCACTGAGTACCCCCCCAGCCTCTCTGCTGATGACTTTGCCCCTGCTCCCCTGAAGGGAACTGAACCCCCTCACTTCCCACGAGCTTAGATGTGTTTGCCTTCACCCTTACCCTGGAGAAGGAGGTGTCCTCTTTTCCAGGCTGGCCCCTCCTTGTGCTTTTCCCAGCCACCCAGCGTCGTCCCGGGCACTGACGGTGTTGAGTGCTGACTCCTTCCCCGGCACCCTCAGCACTCTGGTGCGCGCCCTTCGGGGCCCTGACTGACCCAGTGGGGCGGGCTCTTGATTGTTACCCTCTCCCGCCATCTCCTCGGGCCCTTACGCCGCTGTCCACCAGTGTCTTTCCTGGGCTGCACCGTCTTCGTCTCCTCCATGGGTTCCTTCTGCCCTTGGAACCACGTCTGCGTGCCTGGGCAGCGTCACCAGCAGCTGCCTCGTGCCCAGGTCCAGCTGGCTCCTCTCACTCCCCGATTTACTTGGCCTTTGTGTTTTTTTTTTTGGAAGATTAAAGTAACCTTTCATTAAGTCATCTTTTGACTAAAGTAACTACTCACGGGTCTGGTCTCAGTGATGCTCTCTTCTCAGTGCTCAGCCACCTGGCACCACGTGCTAAGCCTCCAGCCGGCCTTACAGCCACCGTTTATGTTTCTGTATCTCAGAGAAATACATCCTCTGTTTTTCTCTCTCTTCCAGGTAATGAGGAAATCTCACGAAGCCCGTGAAAAACTGCTCCGTCTAGGGATATTCCGACAAGTGGATGTTTTGATTGATACGTGTCAAGGTCCGTATTGTGGTGTAGTTTGTCTTTGATTTGCCTCTCCCTCCCTCTGTCCTCCAGGGACACAGAAGCTGTTTGTGTGGCCAGGCATAGAAAGCTCCTGTGGCGTCAAGAAAGTAACTGAATTTTTGTGTCAGGCCAAGGGAGGACGGGTGAGTTTGAAGATATCATTGCCTGAGCACTCCTGGCTGGTACCAGGGTTCCAGGAAGGACCCCGAAGGAGAGAGCCAGGCTTTCTTTGGGAAACCCCCTACTAAGGTGTCCGAAAGGGCCCTGGGCAGACTCCACCTACATGCGTGTTTTAAAAGGAGGTGGGCATAGGAGTCAGATTTCACTTTTTGTTCGTATTCATTTGGTCTCAATTTAGTGTTTATTCTTTCGTTCCTGAGACCTGCTGTGGGGAGAGACAGCGGCAGACAAGGCATTGTCTCCTCCTGAAGGAGCTTCTGGTCAAGTGGGGCAGGGCGGGGGGACAGCACGTGGTGAGATGTCGTGCCGCCGGGGCGGGGGGCACTCAGCATCTCTTGAGGTGGGGTGGGGGGACGGGGGATCAGAGATGGTGCCCTGGAAGGGGTGATCCATGGCTGGGACCTGGAAGGTGTGTCTGTGTTCGTTTGGGGAGCAGGGCTGGTGGTGAGGGGAGGGATGGAGAATGTTCCATAGAGAGAGAGAGGGTTTAATAGGCCCAGTGGCCAGAGAGAGACAGTGTCATTGGATGGACCACAAGTGCCTTCTAGCCCCAGACAGCAGATGTGGGGATGAGCATGATGGAAGAAAAGGCAGTAAATGATGGGGAGACCAGCTCGTGGAGGCAGGTAGGTGGTGGTGGACTTGATTCTGGATTGAGTAGACACCCACTGAAAAGTACATGTTGAAACGAATCAGTGAACAAGCGACCTTCAGGATTGAGTGGAGGACAACTTTGAAGAGATATAAATGAAGCACAGTATATGAAAATGCTTGTAAAAATATGAAATGCTGTGTAAATGGAAGATTTTTACTATTTGGAATGTCGATTCATCTGTGACTAGCAGAGACCCCAGACAACAGAGGCTTAGGCCAGAGGGAAGTCTCTTTTGGTGACAGTTGGGAAGCCACCTGGGGCTGGTGTGTTTTCCCCCCGGTGCTGGGCACTGACCGTCTCTAGAGTCCCCTGGTCGCTGTGAAGGCAGAGGACCCATCTAGTATCCACGTTCCCCAACACAGCCTCAGGGAGGAGGAGAGGAGGGTGAAAGGGCACACTGCTCTCTTTAAGTACCTGTCCCTGGTGCTGTACACAGCACTCCCCTCTCATCCCTTCGGCCAAGACCCACGTGGCCAAGGGACGCTGGGAAATAAAGTCTGTGAGGCCACGTACCCAGCTAAGCCTCGAGGATTCAATTATGAGTAGAACTGTGGTCCTCAGAGTGTGGTCCCGGGCCAGCAGCTCAGCTCTCACCTGGGGACCTGGCAGAAACGCACATTCCCCTGAAGCGGAAGCTTTGGGGGTGGGGCCGGCAGGCTGCCATGACGAGCCGGGCAGCTGCCTGTGGTGGTGCCAGTGCCGCAGACGCCCTGGGATGCTGCCGGGGGACCGCTGGTTATCTCTGCATCCTCAGAGTGACGGTGGCAGTAACCATCGTGCCTGGGCTGAGCTCTGCGCACGATTCAGTTGGGTCCTCGTGAAAACCTGGTCAAGTGTCATGGTTATTCTTTTGGAAAAAGTGTTTTTCAGCTAAGGGAAGAGGCTCAGGGAGGTTTAAGCAACACGCCGCTGGTCAGACAAGTGAGTGACTGAGTGGCCCTGTCCCTACCCCGGAGTGCTGTCTCGGTGGCGAGTCTCGTGGGTGGCACGTAGTCAGCGCTCTCAGGTCTGTTGTAAGTGTGACGGGTCCACTTCTGCGAGCGGCCCTCCACCCTGGCTGCACGTTAGAACTACCCGAGAGCTTTCACAAGGAATGGTTCAGGACAGTGCAGCTGTTCCGTGTGACACTGTAGCGGAGAGTGCTCGACATCATCCGTCCGTCAGACGCTGCGGGTGCGCAGCACCAGGAGTGGCCTCAGTGCGGTCACCCTGGAGTTAATGATGTCTTACTGTTGGTTCGTCACTTGGGGCAAACGTGCCACACTAGTGCAAGGTGTTGCTGAGAGGAGGGATGTGTGTGAGGGTGTGGGGAGGGCGTACATGGAAACTGGGACTAGCTCTGTGCTTTCAGCTCCATTTTTCCATAAACCTAAAACCGCTCTAAACAACAAAGCCTCCTAATTAAAAAAAAGATAGTGCCAAGGCCCCACCCCGACCAACTGAGTCTGGGTACTTGGGAGCCCGTGCCTGAGCACCTGCGAGTCTGACAGCTCCCGGGTGCGGCTCATGTCCAGCCCCCACCTTTCTGTGAGAGGCGCTCGGCCCTGCACCCCGGGGCCCGCAGCGGGGAGGAGGCACCCCAAGGCCCCCACACTCCCAGCTTGAGGAAGGATAAAACCACTTGCTTCTGACATCTGTATCGAGTTTGTTGCTTCTCCGTCAGGGTTACTGGACCCCCTCTTGTCACGTGAATTCCTCGTTTTAATGTCATTTGAATCGAGGCCCCAAATAATCTCAAGGACCACACTAGTAGGGGACACGTACCTTTAGCAAATAATACGTGTTTTAAACAATCCACTTCTGGTCACTCCTTGCAGCTGAGTCTGACTGTTTGGGATCATTGACCACAAACCAGACACGGGTTTTGGTGTGGAAATGTGGTGTGGTTTTACGTGGGCGTGGTACTGAGCTTTGAAATAGAGCGTGTTTCCCACAGGAGGCTGTGAAGTGAGACGAGGCTTCAGTTTGTGTTCTGTCATTTCTAGTGGTGGGGCCGGATATGTAACTACACATTCCAGCTGTCTTTATTCTTTAATATCTTCGACTTAATAGGCGATGATGCGCTTCCAAATGGGTTAGACGTTACCTTTGAAGTGACGGAATTAAGAAGGTTGACGGGCAGCTACAACACCATGGTCGGGAACAACGAAGGCAGCATGGTACGGTCCAGCTCCCCTCCTGCCCGACAGTGCAGCTTCCACTTGTGAGCTTGTAAAACACGACTGTGCTCCAAAAACTGGCGGTGCTCCCAGAGCTCCTTCCTGCCCCTTAATCTTTGTTAGTAAGACATCCCGTAGTTCTCGGGACCCTTCCTGGAGCTGATTATAACATGCTTCGCTATAAACGTGGGTGGTTCAGGCCTGATTCGGGGCTATGAGATGTACTAGTTTCTTGGTCAGGTTCCCCTAAGCCCCAGACCCATGCGGTTGAGTTGTCTGAGCTTCACAGCTGGCAGGTTTAGCCTGCCCTCCAGTCCATCAGGTGTGTGCGCTCAGCGAAGGCGCGCTTTAAAGAGTGAAGCTGCAGGTGAAAGCCGGTCCTGGTCTATGTTCTTGTCCTGTTTCTTGAGTCCCTGAGCTAGCACAGTCTTTCTTAGAAGTTACTGTTCCTTCCGTTTAAACCACTGCCGTTTTTCCTTTCCTCCCAGGTCCTTGGCCTCAAACTCCCTAATCTTCTAGGTCGTGCAGAAAAGGTGACTTTTCAGTTTTCCTATGGAACCAAAGAAACTTCGTACGGCCTGTCCTTCTTCAAACCGCAGCCCGGAAACTTCGAAAGAAAGTAGGCAGCCATGCAGCTCATTGAGTTCAGTGGCCTGGTTTAAAGTTAAAGTAGATGGCTTGTTTGTGAAAAGAAACTTGGCAGAATCAGGTGACGCTTGTACAGTGTCACAGCGTGCTGTAGATTTCCTCGTGAAGATGAGCCCCAGAAGTGTGTTTAAATCTGTTAATTTAAATGTGTGCAGGTTACAATCACCACTCCAGCTTTTCAAGCTCTGTCCCCTTGTCTCCTAGTTTCTCTGTGAACTTGTATAAAGTGACTGGGCAGTTCCCTTGGAGCTCACTCCGGGAGACAGACAGAGGGATATCAGCCGAGTACAGTGTAAGTGGCTTTGCAGTCATTCGTTGCGTGCACTTGAGCAAGAACGAAGAGCCCATTTAACTGATTCCCAAAGACAGGAGGGACCGGGCTGGGAGCGCACAGACTTGGCTGGTCGGATGCTTGGAGCTGCAGGCACGGTTGCTGGGTCACCCTCTGCTCTCCATCCTCCTGTCAGTGGTCCCCGCCGGGCACCTCTTCACTGGCCAAGGACACATTGCCAGGGCCGGAGAGTGACTAACCTCTACCGTGGCAGCTCCTCTGACTCGGTCAGATTTCTTCCCTGCTTCTGACTTCCTGTAACGCCACCTGTTTGCCCTTCCTCGTCTGTGCTAAGATCGATCGCTGCAGGCAGCCAGTGAAGGTTACTTTAGGTTACCGAACGCTTTTAGTGTTGGTTTACGCCTAAGTTTTCCTTCTAGCAGGATGAGACACGTGGAATTACTATCACTGGACCACTTTCAGGCTTTATGGTGAACGCTGCTCTTTTTGCCTTCCTTTCTGCATCCATGCCTGCTCCCTCTCCTGTTCTAGGCTTTAGTTAATGAGGAAAGACCTTGAGACACAATGCCGTATAAAAGTAAGCTCCCAAGTGTGGTCTCCAGACTGGCAGCCTTGGCCTCACCTGCAGATTCCTGACTCTGCCTGACCTGCTGAATCAGCATCTCCAGAAATGGGGGCAGGAGAGTGTTTCTGCCCGATCCTCCTCCCCTCCCAGTGATTCTGGTCTGAGAGCCCCGAGTGCCTGCCTGAGCCTGCCTCCCGCTGTGTGCTCGGCGCCCTCTGGGCCCTCGAGACACTACAGCCACTCACCCTGACACCCTCGCAGCCCAAAGTCACGAAAGCTCTGAGCGCTCTGCGGTAGCCCAGGAGGACACAGCTCAGGCACAGGCACGTGTGCCCATTGTCACCTCATCATGTGTGCAGGGAGTAGCCCTCAGACCCTCTGCCCTGAGCAGAGATGCGGACACCAGCACCTGGCGGACGTTCTCTTCAGCCCCGCCCTCCCCCAGCTCACAGTGGCCACCAGCAGGGTGGGCGGTTTCTCCCCAGCTCTCTCCCCCATGTCCCTTTTACCTCTGTCCCCTAAGCCATTTTTAAAGAGCAGACGCTAGCAGAGTAGAAACACCTCATTTGTCCACACAGCATAGAGATGAGAGACGTCAGGAGTGCTGGGATAGGCCCGGGGCTGGGGGCAAGGGGCCAGCCCTGCCGTGAGAGCAGAGGTGCTGGAGGAAGGGACTGCATCCTCCTCACCTGTGTCCTTGGTGTCTGCACAAAGTAGGGGCTGACTATGCAAGCAAAGTGGTGCCACCTGGTCCCTGCCTCATCCTCCTGATGGGAATCCAGAGATGTAGAATGTGTCTGCTCTGAGAACAGGGTTTCTCTTGTTAAGAGCCACCTTATACGAAAGGAAGAGGTAATTTAGGTCAGCTCTGCCCCCTCCGTGGGCATGTGGGAGAATAGCTGAACCTCTGGTGGCCCTCAGGGCAGAGATGGCAGGTGTACAGGGCTGCTTTCCCACCATCTGCTTCCCCGGGGCGTGGCTCGGAGCCTTGTGGGGGCCTGACAGGTAATCGTGCTGAGATGAGTTCCCCCAGGTTCTCACCCTGAAAGCCAACTGTGGGGTCTGGGCCTTCAGTTCTCTTGCAGGCCTGAGGGCTGTAGAGCATGCCCAGTGTGGGGCTCACTCAGGAGACTGTGACATGCCCTGGCTCCCTTGTAAGAGTTGCATCACGCTTGTGCTTCCTGAGACCACCAGATAATGTCGTTCGCTGTTCAGAAGCAACCTGGTCCTTTCTCTGAGATGGCAATCTAAGATGGGCTGGCCTGTTCTCGGGGGAAGGGGGTCAGGCCAAGAGGCGGGTCCCACTTGCCCCGACCCAGAGTCACTTGCTTCAGGCCTCTGCCTGCAGGAAGGAAGCTCGTCACTCGGCCGTAACCTTGTCTTACTGCCCTTTTCCGGGAGCTGATGTGGGGCATGTGGGCCACCCAGCCTGGCGGCAGACAACCAGGCGGGGCCTGTGTCGGGTGAGCTTAGAGACAGGAGAGACAGCGGTCGGTGAGGGGTTGCGTGCCGCTTTCAGACCAGCGGCCCTGTCTGCTGGCCCAGAGTGCGGCCCTGCCGCGCAGCTTCCCTCTGTTCCCAGCTGACCCCGCCTTTCTCCCGCCTTCCCGCCTGCCTCCCTCCGTTCCCCCCTTCTCCAGCTTCCCTCTTCTCTTCCTCTCTCCCAGCCATCATTGAAACAAATGTGTCTTAGGTTTTGGGTCAGTTAGAAATTTAATCACACCCCACCCCGGGACCTGATTCGGGACGACCCCCGCCTGCACGGCCGCAAAGCTGACCGTCTCCCGTGTGCCCTTGCAGTTTCCCGTGTGGAAGACCAGCCACACCGTCAAGTGGGAGGGCGTGTGGCGAGAGCTGGGCTGCCTCTCCAGGACGGCGTCGTTCGCTGTCCGAAAGGAGAGCGGGCACTCGCTGAAGTCGTCTCTCTCGGTAAGGACTTCCGTCCCGGGAGGTGTGCAGCTCCTGCTGCACGCGGGAGACTAGTCTCCGCCGACATCGGGAGGGACTGAGAGGTGTCACGGCTTGGGTGGCCAACGCGGTGCCTCCTGGTCACTTTGTGAATTTCCAGATGTGACCTCATGTCGCTTTTCCTGAGTAACATCATGGTAGCGGGAAACGATGTGATAAGTGCTGGCTGTGGCGTTCTAGCTGAAAGCTGGCTGAGCTGACTCGGGTCAGGTGTCACACTCCCTGAATGAACAAACTGGGTGTCGGGGGCGGCGCCTCCCTCCTAATGGACGTGAATTGTTTCTCCCACTCAGTTCCCTCGCTCACAACGCAGGGGTTTTGTCAAGAGTTTGAGAGTGCTTAGCAAGTGCTAGGCTAAAGTTGGTGCCCAGGGAGCATCTGTTGTTATTATATAGTCCTGTCTGAAGTGCAAATACCTCCAAGTCCAAATTTCTTTCAGCACGCCATGGTCATCGACTCTCGGAACTCCTCCATCCTACCAAGAAGAGGCGCTTTGCTGAAAGTTAACCAGGTAGTGATCCTTCGCCCGTGCCCGCCGCAGGCCTGGCGGCCCTGGAGGGATGGGGCGTCACGCACAGTAGTCTCGTTTTAACACTGAACGTTTTCCTTTAATTGTAAAAATCTCTCTAGAATGGCTTGCAAAGGTGTGCGTCCACTCTCGGGGTTCCTAGCCCTGGAATTGCTCCCTGTAGCTCGGGCTTTGCCTTCGCAGAGCACAGAGTAGGGGTAAGGCTCCGGCCTCTGTGACGGTGTCGCTCGGTAGGCCGGGAGGAAAGTTAGGAGTTGGTGTGAGTGATTCCTCTGGTTCCCCTTAAAGAACAGCTGAAGGCAGGGACTGTAACCCCTGTGCCTGCAGGCCCAGCAGGTGACCTCGGGGGGAGAAGCCGGCCATGGGGAGGGGGGCACTGATTGCTCTGTTGGCTGGATCCTCAGCTTCAGAGGACCAGCTCGAAATCAGATTTTCATATGAAATATGTCAAATTGTAAAAGGTTGGCTAATTTTTTTCCCAAACACTGATTAGGCCAAACAAGCCGTGGCATCCTTTGCAAGCTCTGTAATAAAATGTTGGTCTTGCCAGTGTATTTCTCTTGCGTATAATAATAAATAACTTTGTCTGCAGTTACTTGATGAGTTTGATGACTCTGTGTCTGTCAGTCCCCTGGTACCATCTAGAACAACTCGGATTTAGTTTCTCGGAGATGGAAGTAGTCTGTTGCCTTTCCCAAAATCCAAAACAGCAAAACTGAGTCCTAATTGCAGTGACATTTAGTAACCTCTGTAGTGAGTCTGTTTGCTCCATTTGACCTGAGGATTCTTCCCACAGGAGCTGGCAGGCTACACTGGAGGGGACGTGAGCTTCCTAAAAGAGGACGTTGAGCTTCAGTTGAATAAACAACTCATACTTGATTCGGTGAGTATCTAGCCAGAATACAGTCACCTGTGTTTATGCCCCTCGTTTTTGGAATCTTATTGGAAGGTCTCAGTTCCTGAATATGTCCAGCACTAAACAGGAAGTCGGAGCACTAATGCTTGAAACTGAAGTGCTCGATCTTTTAACCTCAGCCAGAATTGAGGACCCTCCGGGGAGAAGTGATGATTAGTCTCTTTAAGCGTCATCTGTCAGTCTGACGCAGTGCCACGGCAGAGCCCCTTCCCCATTTATCAGCTCAGGGCCATCAAGAAAATGTGTCTGGGGGACCGAGGGGGCCACCTGCTTTACCTCCCGATGCTGCTTCCCTGGAAACTCGGAGTCTGCATCTTACTGCGCTAGGTCTTCAGGGCTCTGGGTGCTTCCAGGAATGTCTTTGTTTAATCTTTTTAACCCAGTTTGGTTTAGTTCCTTCTAATTCCCTCAGGACATGAGGAGGAGGTGCTGGATTCTCACTGGGGCAGTGGGGCCCTGGCCTGGGAGACATGGTGTTTATTCTCCAGTCTTCCCAGCACCGCTCTCCACACCCCTGCTGCTGCCTGTGCCCTTAGCTACCTTAAAGTAGGGGGTGCTGGGGGAGGGTACAGTGCAGTCATGGAATGCGCGCTTAGCGTGCATGAGGTCCTGGGTTCAATCCCCAGTGCCTCCTTTAAAATAAGTAAATGAACTCGCGTCCCCCATTAAATCAAGCAGCCAATCAATCAATCAATCTGCTCTTAAAAAAAGAAAACAAACTCTGGGAAGGAGTGAGTTTTAATGAAATGGTACACGCGTGTAATTTAAAAATCCCGTCACTGCTTCCGCTCAGTCCTGGGCTTGGTGCACTGAGCTCGGTTCCTGCCTTTCCCCTCCGCTGCTCTTCCGGAGGCTGCCGGGGCCTCTCTCTGTCCCCTTCTGTGTCGCCTCCACTGCATGACCCCCTCGTCATTCGACTCCGTTATTGCTGCCTTCTCCTTCCACACTTGTCTCTCCTTCTCAGCCTCTTTTCCCTCCCACCCCTCCCTCCTTCCCTCCTTGCAGGTGTACAAGCTGCCAGGCACTGGGCACTAAGAACGCCTCAGTAAATAAAACACAGTTCCTGCTCTTACGTTCTGGTGAAGGGTGGCCCGCAAGCTGTAGATCTACATGTAGCTTAGCAGGTGGTGATAAGTGATGTGATGAACAGCACAGCAGAGTAAAGGGCTAGAGAGGGACCAGAAGGGGTGCATCTTAGCTGAGACTGTCAGGGGAGGCGTCTCTGAGGCCCCTAGCACTTAGAGCGATTGGAAGTGAGCCCCGTCTGCCTGCCCACGATGGCGTCTCCCGCCACGCGGAGCCGCTCAGGTTCAGCTCGGGCAGCGGAGGGCTGGAATTGACCTGGCCTCGGGTGTTGCCAGGTGAGGTGGACACAAGTCGGTGAGTTTTAGTGGTGGGCCTGGGTAAGGAGGGAGCATGGGCAGGAGGGAACGAGGGGGCCGTTCGTAGGTCCTGCTGGTGTCAAAGAATTGGGGGGCTGGTGCGAGAGGGAGCCAGTGGGAAGACGTAGGTGGGGGGTTGACTGGGAGCCTTGGGCGCTCATGGTCCTGAGGTCCCTGGGGACATGAGGCACAGTGGAGTTGTCTCAGGTGGGTAGTCAGCTCTGTTGTTGCTCCCTTGTTAGGCCTGCGCCCTAGGTTGTGACGGGCAGGCAGGCGGAGGGGGGTGGAGGACGGGTGCCGGGGTAACCGGGGGCTCTCAGTCGGGAGGGGAGCTGCCCCCAGAGCGCCCGGGGCCTTTGATCTGTAGCATCTGTCATGTGGTTGAACAAGGACTTGGATTTCTCAGAATAGTGTCCATTGGGCCTGCTCTGCCCACTCTGTCCCAGTTCTCGTCTGTTGTCTCTCCTACTGAAGCTTCTGAAGAAGAGGTATCGGAGCAGCTTGGAAGGCATGGGAACTTGCAAGTCCGAGAGAGGGCAGGAAGGGGAGAGTGTGGGGGTTGCTCAGGAGACGAGGGCCGGGGCGAGGCCCCGGGGAGCCTCGTGCTGGTTTAAGGCGTCGGGGGTTAGGTTTGTGTGGATTACGTGGGTGTGGAGGTTGCATCCCTGACCGAGGCTTAGGTCACTGCCCCTGAGCTGTGAGAGACAGGGCTCTGTCCCCAAGGACTGGGCGGGCAGCTTGTCTTCGCACTTCTTAGTGGCGGGAGCGGAGTACCCTGCGCCTGCCTTCCCTGCGACACCTGGGCCCTCAGCCCCCTTGGGCTTTGCGGCTGAGCCAGAGAGGCCTGGGCAGCTGCGGAATCACTTGCCGGGGCCACGGCTGGTCCCGCTGGGCTTGGGGGAGACGAGGTTGCTGCCCTGTGTGGGGGCAGGAGCCAGGCCCTGCTTAGGGTTTGGGCTTGTTTTTCGCTTGTGTCCAGTATGTCTTTATTTGACACTTGAAGTTGCAAGTTATAAAAGTATCCACAAAACTCCTTGACCTGTAGCTCTTCTAGTGCACGAGCCAGGTGTCCTCTCCTGCAGCCCGCGTGCCCCTGCCCAGGGCTTGGCACGCCGTGGGGGCTGGGCCCAGGGCCAGCGACCAGGTCTCAGTGCAGCTTCTGTCTGCCAACGCTCATTGGAATGGAAGCAACGCTGGAGTAAAACGATTGTTTGTTTATATTTCAATAGGTTTTCTCAGCGTCTCTCTGGGGTGGAATGTTGGTACCCATGGGTGATAAACCATCAAGTATTGCCGATAGGTAAGTAACAGGAGAGGACTGGGTAGTTTGCAGACTGTTTCCTTTGGGTCTTTCTGGTTGGTTTCCTACAAGATATTTTAGAGAAGTTTAACTGTTGAGGAAAGCAGATATTTCGAATTTTAATGTAGTTTTTGTGTTTAAGCTCATTTCAGAATACACAGTACATCTCATACTTAATATTTTTTTGCTTTTTGGGGGAGAGGGAGAGTTAACTCACTTCATTATATTAACAGTTTTCTATTCTCTTTTGAGTATGAAAGAATACAGTTCATAGATGTTGTAGAAATATAAAAATAGAGAAACATTTTAGAAAGTAGAACAGTCCTGCTCAGTGATAAGCAGAGTTAGCATTTGGGACTACAGTGACCCCTGAACGACCCTGGGGGGCTCATCCAAGTATAATTTACAGTCGGCCCTCTGCACCCACTGTTCCTCCACATTGCAGATTCAGCCAAGCACCGACCGTGCAGCACTGTAGTATGTGCTGTTGAAAAATACCCGCGTACGGGAGGACCTGTGCAGGTCAGACCTGCCTTATTCAAGGGTCAACTGTGTTTCCTCTTAGTCGGTTTCCTTGTGCAGGTGTATGTGTGTGTGCACATGATAAGTTTATGCACACATCTATATGGTTGATACACTGTGTTTTGCATACAGTTTTGTGTCCTCTCTGCTTTCTTAAAATTATAGAGTAAATCATTCACCAAATCATGGGAAATTTTTCATAAGCAGCGTTTTAATGTTTCATTATTTGCATATAAGTAACCCTGTGAAGAACATAACCTTGTGAATAATTTTTGTTCATTTTATTTTCTGAGGAGCAATTCCTCAGTGTGGAATCACTATCTCAAAAGAATAAGAGCATTTGGAAGGCTCGTAAAGAACAGTGCTGGAGCCTGCCTGTCAGGAAGCTCCTGGCGGCTTCGGCTCCTGCCGGCAGAGTGTGAAGTTGCACCTGTTGCTTATTTTGGTTGCTCTTAATAGAAATTCTGACAGTTATCTTGGAGCCAAGGAATTCTTTCATCTTGCATTAGTTAAAATGTTGTTTTAGCCTTTTCAGATGGCAGTTTGGAAGTAGAAAAAAATTTTTTTAACTCCAAATTCTGGAACCTAACATTTTCACCTCCGTGAATCTAATGTACAGAAATACACTCCTGAGAGAACAAGGATTTATAGAAAAGGATGTCCATCAGTAGCATTGTTGGTAATAGCAGAAATTCTAAAACTGCCTCTAGGAAAATGATTAAATTCAAACACAGCCATTCTAAAGAGACTGTGTAATTGTTTAAAAGGACGAGGTGACGTCCGTAAGTGGAAGTGTACATGGAAGTGTGTTCAGTTGCCTGCTCTCTGGTCAGGGGAATGTGTGTGTGTGTGTGTGTGTGTTTGCAGCCACCACACTGAGGGTCTGGAAAGTCAGCCACCAAACCAGTGACAGCAGTCAGCCCTGGCAGCGGGGACACGGTGGGCAGATGAAGGGCGAGGAAGAACTTTTTCTCTTTTTGTGCTTCCTGGATCATTTTAATTCTTTCAAAAGAATATATGGAATTTATCATTTAAAAAAAAAGTAAATGGACCTTGCTCTTTGTTTTTGTAATGGATGTTAATAGGGTATTCAGAAAAGCTTTGCTTAGAAATCCCAAATAGTAAAAACACATTTATAGACTTTTAAACTCAAGTTCCAATGAATAAATTCACAAAGGCTTTTATCCAGGGGGACAATCAGAGGAACAGCGCGCTGTTCCCTTTGTACTGCTTCAGACCCAGGGACGTTGGTGGGGCCGCGGGGCCAGTGCTACTGTCGCCCCCATGGCAGACGTGGTGGGAAGACTGGGCACAGCTTCTCTGGTCATTTTAATTCATTGTTTAGTAATTACCAGGGTCTACAGCTGGGTTCTAATGAAAGCTGTTAGATTTTATAGAAAGTGGACGGGATTTCTAGTAATTTTTTAATTCATGCTTTTCATTTTACTCAGATATAGTTTAAAAGAGTATGATAACCCAGTTCATTAAGAAACACAAGGGAATTCATTAAAAATTTTTTAATATATACTTTTCTCCTAATTAAAAATCACTATAGAAAATACCAAAAAAATGTAAAATTACAATACCTCTGTATTGGTCTCTTTCTTTCTAGTATTTTCCTCTATTTGTAAAGTTTGGATCATACTGTTACATAATTTGTGTCCCTCTTCTTTTTAAACTTACGTAACTTAAGTTTTACCTTAATTATTGTGAGCACGTAGGAGGCTGTTTTGAAAAGGAGCAGCTTAGTGAACTCTTACAAGCAGGGACGATTCCTTTACAGCAAACTGTCCCCCTGAGGGTCTTTATCTGAGCCTTGAAGTTTGAAGTGTTTCTTTAGATGTTTAGATTTGGGTTAGGTTAGAAGTTTTGATTTTTATGAAACTCGGCACACTCCCGGGCATCTTCCAAATTCATGAATGATTCAGCACGGGGAAAGTTGCGGACAAGGCAGGACGCACGTGTGCCTCCTGATGTCGACTGTCCCCGCTGGCTCTCCTCTGATATCCACCTCCTCTTGCAGATTCTACCTCGGGGGACCCACGAGCGTGCGGGGCTTCAGCATGCACAGCGTCGGGCCGCAGAGCGAAGGTCTGTTGTCCCCACGATATGTACGCCAAACTGGAAAAACTGAGCTGACGGTGGCTTCTCATTTTTGAAAGCATATGTGTGTTTAAACTGCCTCAATAGTAGATGTTCACATGTCACCAGTGGAACTGGCACCCGACACAGCATCCACCACACAGCAGGCCAGGAAAGGCGTCTGTGGAGGAGATGATAGAAAACGAGAGAACAGAACTAAGCAGAGGTTCACGACGGTGGCCTCTGGTCCCGTTGCCCAGAGCTGACACGTGTGAGCGTCCTGTTTAAACACACACGCCCACACATGCGTGCTGTGTGGACGTGTGTGTGGACGTGCTGTGTTCTGACCTGGTCCTCCCGCCACCCCGCAGTAATGACGTACAAAAAGACTTTAATACGAATAAGTACTTTACTGTTTTTAATGGCTGCTTAATTCGTCTTATTGACAAGCCATGATTTTTTTAAATTAATGGGACTTAAAATTTTTTTTGAAATATGATATGATAACTTTAATATCACGATAAGCATGCATTTCAATAAGAAGACCTGGAGGAGGTACAGCACAACGTTAATTATGGTTTTATCTGGGTGATGAGAATTACGAATAATTTTAGTACATCTTTTAAAATGCATTTCTGCACTTTCCAAATTTTCTGCAAGTCTCCATTAAGTTTGTTTATTGAGATATAGATGATTTACAATACTCTAAGTTTTAGACGCACAACAATTTTTACAACAAATTTTTCCGTGAGTCATGATTCTTAAAAGATTCTGCTCCATTTATACTTATTCTAAAACATTGGCTACACCTGCTGTGTAATGGGCTTTATTTTTGAGAACTGTTTTAGGTGAACGGAAAACTTGGGCACAAAGTGCAGTGCTCCGCTGCCCCCGCCCATAGCACCCTTTGTCAGTGGCATCTCGCGATCCTGTGGGGCCCTCGTTAGAGCTGAGAGCCAGCGCTGATGTGTGATTGCTGACTAGGTCCCATGTCCACATTAGGGCTCGCTTTGTGTGGCCTTGTTTCATGGGCTTTGACAAGCGCACAGTGGCGTGTATCTACCATTACAGTATCCCGCAGAAGGGTTTCACCGGCCTAAAAATTCACCACGCTCCATCCACCTCTTCATTCCTCCCTCTCTTCTCCCTCCTTACTTCCTGGCAACCACTGACCTTTACTATCTCCATAGTTCTGCCTTTTCCGGAATGGCATATAATTGGAATCATGCGGTATGTGCCCTTTTCTGACTGGCCTTCTTGACTAAGCAGTATGCACTTAAGGTTCTCCCATGTCTTTTTTCTTTATAATGTATTTTTTAGATTTTTGTTTTTACATATATACATTTAAAAATTTGAATATAAGTGATTTACAATATTAATTAGTTTCAGTTGTACAGCCTAGTGATTCGACCCTCCGTATTTTTTTACAGCTTGATTGCTCACGTGTTTTTATCACCGAATAATATTCCACTGTGTGGCTGTACCACAGGTTGTTTATGCACTCACCTACCGAAGGACAGCTTGCCTGCAGGACTCCCGGTCTTTGGCAATTATGAGTAAAGCTGACATAAACATCTATGTGCAGTTTTTTATTTGGACATAAGGTTTCAGCTCATTTGGGTAAATAGCAAGGAGCCCAGTCGCTGGATTGTATGATGGAACTATGTTTAGCTTTGTAAGGAACTGCCAGATTGTCTTCCAAAATAGCTCTAGCATTTTGCATTCCCAGCAGCAGTAAATCAGAAAGACAAAAGCCTGGTGATCTTTCATGGCTGCTTGCTTCATCCTCCTACCTTACTGCAGTCTTTATAGACCAGACCCCAAGATTCAGACGTTTAGACTGGTTCCTTTTCCCTTAGAATTATATAACAATGTGCCAGTGTATTTAATAGCCTAACTGAATCTCTGTGTTTGTCTGTAAGTTTGACTTTATAACATAAAGCTCCAGATGCGGACTCGCTAGATCAAAGGGTTTTGAGATTCTTCAGTTTTCATATTGGTCTCTGGAGAGTTTGTCTCACTCATACTCTCCCCCAGCAGTGAGTGAGAATTCCTGTTTCTGGAACTGTCTCTAATACTTGACATTTTGTCAGAGGATCTCCACATGTATTAGAATCTTTAAAAACATTATTTAAATGGATGCGTGTTCTTTTAGAGTGATTTAGTAGTGTGTCTCTCTCTCTCTTTTTTGAAAAGTAACAGTTTCTTTTAGTGACTGTGAAAGTTTTGGAATCTGATTTAATTTGCTTGAAAGTTAAAACATAAATTCCTTATTAAAAGGCCATTGGTAAGATTCCATGGCAAGAAGGTAAACTGCTGTGGCTTTTCGTGAAAGCAGTTTGACAATTCGTATCAAAAGCCTAAAACATACGAGCAAGGATTATTGAAAATAATAGTCCAAACTATCTTCACACTGTGGAATATTACACAGCAGTGAGGATGAACAAGTTAGAGCCTCTGGCTGGATGGCACGAATGAGCACTGGAAACGTGCCCCCCACCCCCCAAAAAAAGCCAGACTCAGAGGGTGCATGCTGTGTGATTCCATCCGTGTGATTTGTAGACATGGTGAGATGGTCTGTGCCGTTGGACGCTGGCTGCACTTGGCCTGAGTGGTAGGTTGTGATTACAAAGGAGAACAGGGCCTTCTGGGGGCTGCACGTGTCTGTTTCTCAGTCTAGGTGCTCACTATAGGCTGTGCTCCGTGTGTGGAGAGTCACTGAGCCATATACACTTAGGTGTATGTACTTTGTGTGTGTTTTACTTCAAGACCGTTTAAAATGTGTGTGTGCAAGGAAGCCCATCACCTCTTCACGTCCACTGTCAAGTTCAACACCAATATGGCAGCAGTCAAAGGATAGGTCATTATATTACGGCACATGTAAGTGATTATTCCAGCATCAAGATCACATTTTCAAAGAATACAAAGTATTAGAGGGAAGTGCTTACAGTATATTAAACAAACAAACAAAAAGCCAGGATAAAATGACTCACATTTTATTTTCTTATTATTCGTTATAATTCACTGGACAAAAGAATACCAGGGTGTTAGCTGGTTATCTCAGAATGCTGGAATTAAAGGAGAATTTCCTTTTTTTCCTGCTTCTATGTATTTATCAGATTTCCCACAATGAGTATATTACTTTGTGATTAAAGTAAAATAGGTTATTTAAGAAAAGAGAGCGACACTTGCTGGGAAAGGAAGGCAGACCTGGCTGACCTCCTGTTACCTGTTCAGTCTTTGTTTCCTCTGGAGCTTCAGTATCAGTAGGGACGGAGGAGGTGCTGGAGTCTTTAAACAAATAAGCAGCTCATTCCTTGAGGCTGATCTTGGAGGCAGCCGGTATTTTTCTCTTTCATGATCTGTCATTTTGTATTAAAGGAGACTAAGACGCTTTACAAAGAGTCTTTTGTAGCAAAGTATACACATTTCAGATTTTTGGTGTTGTTGCGTTAATGTTGAGGCTCTTTGTAGTTAAAATGAAATGGATAGGAACATTTTTAGAAATAACACGTATGTGTGCTCTCAGTGAATAGTCTTGAATTTTAGCAAAGGTAACCTTTGTCCAAAAAAAAAAAACAAAACCCGCAAGTGGTCCTAAATCTTTACAAATGAGCGTCTTTGTAGAGCCGAGCTAGGACGGCTTCCTTGTGCAGTGGGTGGGTAGCAGATTCTTCCTGGTTCTGTACAGCCGTTTCCAGGAACTGCAGAGGCACTTTGTGTACCTTGTATCTCTGTATCGTGGTCTTAACATTTGCAAAATAATGCATTTCTTTGCCAAGTGACAGTGACTGGTCACCCGCAGCTGTGGAAGAAGTGGTTTGCAAGAGTTTATTACTTTACTCCGAGCATGTTACAGATAACGATAAATTCCTGATTTCATTCTTTCCTAATTACACACTAGCTTTTTTTTTTTTCAGTTAAAGCAAATTATAAAAGCAGGAGAAGAAGATCATTTCAGAAAGATGGTTTGAAATGAGGCCAGCAGGAGTTAGAAGAGCAGCTGCTCGCAGACGCGGGCACGGAGAGTGGTGGGCACAGCACGCGTCTCGCTCGTGAAAATGGTGGCACATCAGTGTGATTTTGAGCCTGTGACCTCGTTCTGATCTGCACTCCTTGCTCACCTAGGAGACTACCTGGGCGGAGAGGCGTACTGGGCCGGCGGCCTGCACCTGTACACCCCGTTGCCTTTCCGACCGGGCCAGGGCGGCTTCGGAGAGCTGTTCAGAACACACTTTTTCCTCAACGCGGGAAACCTCTGCAACCTCAACTACGGTAAAGCCAGGACCACGTGGCAGCCCCGCGGCGCGGGCGGCCCGTGCGAGAGTGCAAGGCACGGCAGGTGTCCGCGTCTCACTCAGATTACGTCGTCTAAAGTGCAGGGGCTGCGCCCTCCGTAGTTCCCACACTCCTGATGCAGTGCCCAGAGTAAAGGTGTTGGCTGAATGAATGAAAAAAGCAGGAAAAACCATCATCTAATGCTGTCTTACAAAGAAAAGTCTATTTATTGAGCAAACTTTCTTGAGCCCCTACTCTGTGCCAGTCATTAAGGCCACAGAGCTGAGCATGAGCTGGTCCCTTGTCTGGGTGCTCAGGGCCCAAGAGTCACAGGTGCGTCCAGCTAGGAGGACACGGGGGAGGGGTCTGGAAACCAGGGCTTGGAGTAGGGCTTCCCGGGTGGTCAGTGGCCGGGGAAATGCTATTCGAGGCAAAGGGAGCAGAGTGTGCCAGGCCATGAGAATGGGGAGGAAGTGCGGCCCCCAGCCCGCTTGACTTTGGTCCTGTCTCACTTCATTCATTCTCCTCGACTGTCTAGGCCTGGCTTGAAAAATCACCGGAGGCCACACAGCGGGGAGGGAGGCAGGACTTACCCGAGGGCAGCAGGGGCCACGCACTGTAGCTCACGTCCCTCTTCTCGCTTTTCAGGGGAGGGCCCCAGAGCTCACATTCGGAAGCTGGCGGAGTGCATCCGCTGGTCTTACGGCGCCGGGATCGTCCTCAGGCTCGGCAACATCGCGCGGCTGGAGCTGAATTACTGCGTCCCCATGGGCGTGCAGGGGGGCGACAGGTGGGTGCGGGCGTTCCTCTCCACTGGTCCATGGCTCTTTCTTGTCACGGTACTTTGTTTTGGACGTTAGTTAATATCTCACCAGTGGCCTTTAAGACTCAAGACTTCAGGGAAAATTGAATCGTTAGCTGAAGAATGAAAACACCCGTGTTTTTCTCTGTTGGATTTCTCCCCATCCAGTGTGAGGGAAAATGTGCTGTGTCCCGGGCCCCCGCCTCACACTATGGGTGCTTGTGCCCAAGGAGCAGGAGCCCCTCTCCCGGCCTGGCTGGCGGCGGCCGCTGGCGTCGCTGACCCTGCGCTGAGGGCAGAGGGAGGTGTTGCGGGCGGTGGCAGCAGCCAGGAGCTCGGAGGTCGGGGTGGGCGCAGAGGCTCCCGCCGCAGAGGCCGTGCTCCCCAGGCCGCTCCCCGCGGTGGTTTGCACCCGCCCTCTTGGCCTTTCTCCACCAGTCATTTTACTGAACAAGGTTTGCTGGGTATTACATGGATGAACGTGGTATAAGGCCATTTATATTTATGGAAGTTGGTTTTGTTCTTGAATTATTCGGTATGTGTTGTAGAATGTTTAAGAAGTCCAAAGTGCTGTCCTCAGTAGTGCGCGCGGTCGGCTCGGCGAGTGTGACAGCCCCGCAGTCCGGGTCCTTCCCGGCAGGCGTTTCCGCCTCATGTCTGGAGGCCGGGAAGCCCTGGGTCAGAGCGCTGGCAGATCTGGGCCCTGATGAAGGGTCCTCTGCCTGGTCTGCAGATGGCGACTTCCCTCTGTGTCCTTACTTGGCAGAGAGAGAGCAGGCTCTGTGGTGTCTCTTATGTAGACACTCATCCCACCACGCGGGCCCCATCTTGAATGAGGCACCTCATCTCAGGTGCCATAATGACCTCCCAAAGGCCCCGCCTCCGGATACTGTCACCTGGCGGGGGTGGGCGTTGAGGGCTTCCGCACGGAGGGCCTGGGGGACACAGACGTGCCGCCCATGACCTCGTGTTCCTGTTTTCATGCTCACCCATCTCAGCGCTCTAGGCTACTTTTTTTTCTTTTGGGTGTTCTGTCTACAGTCAGTCATGGTGCTGAGTCACAGCCCAGGTTTCAAGCATGAAGCTGTGGTTTGTCCTGGTTTAAGGAAATGCTCTGCAGCTTTACTCCCGCTGTCTCCAGCCTGGTGGGTGATGGCGTTTTGAAAGGAGCACATAAGAAAGCTTTTAACAAAGCGTTAGTTCTCAGGTGCAGTTCGGTGTCTGTTGTCCAGACCTGCAGGCCGCCAGGATGGTGGTCTGCTCTCCGCTCTCGCCAGAAGGTGCTTCGGGCCGGGGCTGCCGTGCCTCCCTCGTGGTGTTGGGGCACCCTCAGCTCGCAGCTGCTCTGTCGACTGTTAATCACCCTCCACACCTCGTGCTCGGCGCATAGCACATGCTGAGAAGGGTCTGGTTGCACAGGCTGAGTGTGCACTGGAGTGTGTGGCCTCGGGTAAGTTGCTTAACCTCTCTGGGTCTCCGTTTTCACGTCCGGAGAATGGGCACTAATGGTAGTGATTACTTTGCAGGTTTGAGAACTAAATGCATGAACACATGCACTGCTCATAGAGCAGTGCCTGGCGTGTAGTCAGCAAAGCTGGTTATTTCTCGTGTTGTTCCTGCTCCTGGTGCGCTCAGCCCAGCCGCCTGTTCACATAGGAAGCAGACCGTGCCCCCTCGCCTCTGTGGTGTCACAGTATGGCTGGCACCTGGCTGACTGTGTTTGAGACATGCTGTAGATGGGGTGTTGTGTCCTGATTTCAGGGCTGGGCACTTTTTTCTAGAAGAGGGTTTTGCATTAGGTAACAGCAGAGATTCTTCAAATGTTTTTGGTAAATAAAGCTAATTTTGCAGGTTGCTTTCTGTAAAGCCATATTCCCACCAGAGGTATGGACTTAAGGCTCCTTGGCTTAAAGACCAGGTGCTAGTGGAATCCTGGCAGAGAGCCAGGGGTGGGGAGCGTCTGACCAGCTCCACGTCTCTTCTGAGAGCAATTAGAACATTTGGGGCAGGAAGGTGATCGATCACTGGTACTTACTGATGGGAGGTAAGTACCCCCTTGTGGGAGGCACCAAGCTAAGCACGGCTTTTGCCGGATGGGGAAACCGAGACTGGGAAGTGTCAGCCGTCGGTCAGCTGCAGTGCCGGGGTGGGGAGGGCCTGCCCGTTGAGGCCGGAGTGTGAGCTCTGTCCTCTGCACCAGAGCCCAGGTGGACCAGAGCCCAGCTCCCCACCGCTCCCTGCAGGACAGGGCGTGGGGAGGCTGCAGTCACCCTCACCTCGGGCATCGGCCGTGGAAAGACAAGAATCACCCTCTTCTTGCTTGTGTCCTCATTCAGACTTTAGTTCTGTACCAACTTCTCTGTCTCAGAGAATACATTGCTGTTTCCATGACGATCCGTTGGTGTGGATTAACCGTGTTTAATGTTAGTCCATATTATACAAGTCAGCACGTGATAAACGTGTGTAATGACAGAGAAGACTGGCAGCGCCTGCAGGTTTTCAGCCGCAGCCTTACTGTCTGTTTCACCATGACTGACCATCAGCCCCGAGGAGTGACCAGGGTCCCTGGACTGGCCTTGAGGCAGCTGCGGACTGGCCTGGCCTGTGGGTGGGGCTGCGCGGCTGGCCCCCGCCCTGTCCCTCCCTGGCTGTGTGATCCTCGGGTCCTGCCTCCTGCCAGTTCTGGGCCTCCTGCCCTTCAGACTTCAGACGGGAAGGTGGGGCGAGGCCACCCTGTGGTGCGGCCGCGTGTGGCTGCAGTACCGCCGGCGGCCGCTGGGTGTCAGTGTGCTCCCGGAATCAGCGGTGCTGCCCTCCAAGCCTCCCGCTTCACCTTCCCGCTCTGCCTCTCTCTCCCCTCAGGTTACCTCTGAAAAGCATGTTTCAGATATTAATTTCAAACGCGGTTTCTCCCAGGAGGAGGAAGCCTGCTGTGCGTATGGTATTTAAAGACCAGAGCATAAGGAAGCGCGTTCCCCCTGCAGCGGCAGCTCTGGGACCGAGGTGGCTGCAGCAGATGCTCCCCGTGTGCGGCATCCTGCACGGGGCGCGCCCTTCGCTCAGTGTGAGGCTTTGTTTGAAGTCTTAGCATCCAAATTGGAATTTTGTGACGTTTGAGTGATGTCGCCAGCGCTTAATCTTTATTTCTAAAATTAGGCAACTAGCAGGATGGGAATTATGTGCGTTCAGTTCATCCGTAGACCCCCCCCCCCCCCGCTTAGTTAATGCAGTCACTCTATAGTTAGGGTTTCAGACCTTTACAGAAGTGGCAACGGGTCTGAAATGTTTGCTGAGTTTTCTACCGGATGTGATTGGTGGCACCGTTGTCTCTGGGGTCCAGGAGCGTTCTGTCACTCTGTGTCTTACTGAGTGTGGTCCCTGGAGATTCCCTAATGACAAAGGTGGCCCCCTGGGAGGGCAGCTCATGGCTAGTAACGGAGAAAGATGAGAAAGAGGATCATGGTGGCTGGGGTGGGCGTGAGAGGGCCTCCTGGAGGAGGTGACACCTGAGCTGAAGCTTCTGGAAGGACCAAGGTGGCCTACCAGGCCACCGAACAGCTGGAGCCAAGGTGTGGACACGTGAGATGCCAGCAGGCACCAGCTGACACTTCTACAGGTGCAGAAGTGAGGTGTGGGGCGGCCCTTGAATGCCAGGTGGAGCCTAAGGTTCAGTCCTGTCCCCTTCCTGGCTCTGCCTTCCAGCCTCTCTGGCCTTTTCCCTTTGGGCACACCCTGAGGTCTCCGAGTCCTGGCCCTCATCTGCGCTGACTTCCCCGTGCTGAGGATGGCGCCCATTCCCCGAGTGATGGCTGGGTGCGAGGTGGGAGCCTGCTGAAGAAGCATTGCTCCCAGTGCTGGGGGCCGTGTGCAGGGCGCTGAAGATGTAGCGGCAGCAGAGGGCCCGGGCCCTGGCGTGACCTTCATCAACACCCCCTGGTGGTATGGAGCCAGAGGCAGGGCAGTGCAGGCAGGGAGGCCTCCAGAGCCGCGCTGCGCTCGCACAGCCAGGGCTGCCCACGGCAGGCGGTGGGAGGGGGAGGCGGGGGGGCTGTTTTGAGGTGCCTGCTGCATGGAGTCACAAGAACTCGGGCACGGCGGTCAAGACAGGAAGATGGGCTTCTGGCGAAGCTGGCTGGGTGCCCCGCGTCCTGTGGCTGCCCCCGCGGTGCCGTTCGGGGTATCCGCGGTGGGCCTTTCCCCCGTGCCGCGCGTATATGCCTTCGGTCATAAGCCTGTGCTCGTAGAGCTGCTTGATCCGTTTGCAGTTCGAGTGGACGAGCCCCTACTAGCACCCTGCTTGTTTCTGAGTCGTGTAAGCCCGGGGCTTGACTTATTTTTCTTGTAGCTCATTTTCAGATTGTTTTCTTAATGGTGAACACAGGCATAGAGCACATTGATGACCTGACCGTGTAAGGTGTAAAAGCGGGTTGTTCAGATCTGAGCAGCGCCAAGTCATACAAACACAGTCGCAGTTTTGATGGTGGATCTTTGCCTTTTAAGGGCAGGGTGAGGTCTGCTCAGGATCGCGGGGTCTGCGTCTGTCCCTTCCGGTTGGACGGCTTCTGCTGATGCAGCTGGTTAATGAGCACCCTTGACCCTGCGGGAGGGCAGGAGCAGCAGTAATGATTCTCTGTCTTGAATCTGTTAATTGATGAGATATTTTGATCCCTCGCTCAAGTCAGGTTGAAAAAGAACAACTTGCTGCCAGTTTTCATAGGCTGTAAATCCGGAGATTGGGTTAGGGCACAGGTGTTATGACAACAGAAATTCCAGCTTTCCTCTGAAGGAAGGAGCCATTCTCGTCCAGTTTTTCAAGAAACTGCCCACAACTTGTGAAGATGCCACGTTCCTCAGATGCACCATCAGCTGCTGGTTGGGATTCGGACTGTGGTTTTTCCCTGAAGCATCTGCTTCCTGGTGTCTAGGCCCCCGGGTTAGGCCCTTTGTTCTGTGTTCAGCACTGGTCCTGCCCCCGAGCACAGCCAGCTGGTGGGCCACGTCGCCTTGGGCGACTGTAGGAGTCCATCCTCCACGCCGTGGGGCAGTCTGGGCCTGGCGGTGGTGCGCCAGCCACGCTGTGGTATCTCAGAACACAGGGGCCCACGCCGTGGCCGCGAGTCTCACCCTGAGTGCATCCGGGGTGTGCACCAGGCCGTCGTGGAGACGGGAGGACCCGTAGCTGCGCATCCTCCCTCGCAGCTGAGGCGGCAGGGCCCGCGGGCGCGCGGGCGTCTGGTCCAGAGTCCTGCTCGGCTGCTCCTGCTGTGTGACCGCAGCCCTGTCCTCACTGCCCTGCCCGTTCGTGCATCTGGAAATGGGATCCGTGGTCCATCAGCCGGTCCCGACTGCACAGGGAGCAGAACCTGTGGAGCATCCGCAGCCAGCAAGCGTTGCAGCCACATCACCTGTTTGCAGCCTTTCCTGGGTCAGAGCAGGCTGTAAAGAGCGGTCACGGAAACCCTGTGGGCTGAGCACTGCCATCGCCGTAAGCCCCTGGGACCCTTCGAGGTCTGGGCTGCCCCGAGCTCCGCCGTCCCCCCACTCCCTCCTCCCCGCCTCCCTGCTCGCTGCCCTGCTTCCTCCCAGTGCCCTCCCGTCCGTCCTCTCTGTCCTCCCGCCGTGCCCGGCCCTCCCGGGCGGTGTGCTTTGCCGGGTGCCCTTCCATGGCCACGTCTCTCATCACCGCTCTGCTCTCACATAAAGGACCGCACAACTCCCCTCTTGCCTGGTAGCCTTAGAGAGAAACACAAAGCTTATTCCCTCCCGGGGCTCTGTTGTTCATAACTATTTCTCTCTGAGGCCCTTTTCTCTTGTCACCAGTTGGGTCGGGACTGGGGGCACACAGAGGAGTTGAAGAGGGGGCAGGGAAGGGGGTTCACGTCTCTGTCATCTCCATCTCATTCCCGTTTTCCATTCTCCAGAGGCTGGCGGTTAACAGCAGAGAGGGAAGCAGCCGGGCAGCCCAAACTGTCTTCCCGGAGGCTCAAGTTTATGGAACTGTGGACGGACGGGGCGGGTAGAGCAGAGCACAGGATTGGTTTCCTGCCTTAAAACGTAATTTTTTTTTTAGGATTTGCGACGGCGTCCAGTTCGGAGCTGGGATAAGGTTCCTGTAACTGATGCTGAGCGTCCTCCAGTCCCTCCAGAGGAAGCCCTGGAGCTCGGGCAGCAGTGAGTCAGTCGGTGCCACACACTTTCTCTCCAAATAAACACATTTCACGTGATCCTTGACTGCGATCCTTGTGGGAAGCCAAGTCAATAAATTTTAAAGACAGATACTGAGCTGCACCGTGGGTGTGGTTAGCTTTCCCCAGGCAGGGTGTCCCGCGCGGCTTTTCCTGAGGACCACGTGGAGTGTACAGGGGGCCAGAGCTGCGTTCTTTCATGTGTACCGCCCAGTGGGGGTCCTGTCAGAGGGTCTGCAAACGCCTCGTCATCCTGGACTCCCCCGGTCTCAGTGTTGGGTCCCACGTGTCAGAAGTGATTGGCAGAGCCCCGGGGGAGACTCAGAGACGCAGGCCTGCTGGTTCTAGGCACACAGGCCCCCGCTCGATGCTGAGGGACTGTGTTGGCGGGCGCAGCCGTCACAGTGTCACCTAAGTGTGTGTGAGTGCTGTGGAAGAGAGAGTCCAGTGTAACGTTAGGGACACTGAAGCTAATGTTGGTGTTAATAAAGACGAGTGAACCACAGGCCTAGCGGCCTAACCCAGCCCAGAGCAGAAACCCGGCGTCAGCAGGGCTGCACTCCTCCTGGAGGCTCCCAGGGAGGATCTGTTTCCCGGCCTTTTCCAGCTTCCAGAGGTGCCCATGTTCCTTGGCCTGGGCCCTTGCTTTATTTTCAGAGCCAGCAGCGTAGCATCTTCCTGTACCCTCTGAATACTTGCCTCTCGGTACCATCTTTTTGGCCCCTATGGTGACACTGGGCCGACCTGGACAGTCCAGGCTGCTCTTATTTTAATATCTGCAGTCTTAGTACCCCCGGTTGTATTACGTAACATATTCACAGGCTCCAGGAATTAGAATGCGGACATCTTTAGGGGACCATTATTCTGCCTAACACACCTGGTGTCTCTCAAAGTAATATTTCAGGGAATACGTAATTAGCCACGTGAGAAAAAAGTTGAAAAGAATAAACCTCCTTTAAATTCTAAAAACGGTGCCATGTCAAGATATCCGGGGTGCGGGCGATGCCCAGGGGCCTGCCCTGGGGCGCTTTGCTGTTGGGTGTCCCCCTCCCAGCTGGGCAGAGCCCACCTCACTTGCATCCTCCCGAAACCTGCTCTGTGTCCCTGCCAAGTGCACCTGGGGCTTCAGGAGCAGCGTGAGTCTCAGGCCCCCTGCTCTCAGGCACCTGAGGGCTGTCACCCTCACTGCCTGCATAAACGACGGGTTTTTCAGGGGATACGTAAGTAGAAACAGTTTTCCCTTTCCTAGTAGTTGGGAGCCTGGGGAAATACACTTTCCCCTCTGACTTCTTTTGTCGTTTACAAGTTCACTTTTATACATTTGGCAAAATAAGGAACCCATGTTACAACACCGTCATGTTCAGACTGTAAGTTAAGAACAGAAAGATCCAGATAACGCAAACTTTCAGACACACTTGGAGAATTCACGTATCATGACAGTGGGAATCCCAAGAAGTCATTTTTGAAAAGGTACGTGTTTAACCAAGCAGGGCCGGCTTACCCCGGGTCCCTGGCACCAGCTCCGAGGTTAGGGCGCATTGGGTCCCGCTGTCTCCAGTGAGGGGGAGACGTGTCTCTGTGGCAGGTGCGCTCCGCAGGCTGCTCCTTCTCCAGGTGAAATGAAATCGGCGGATAGAAATCGGGACTCTGTTCCTTCTCAGTGGTATTAAGTGGGCAGATGAGCAGAAAGCCGAGAGCCCTTAACAAAGTGCTTTCCACGAAAGACCAGAAGCCAGGCCGGTTCGCTGGGGGAGGCGACTTTCCCATAGCCGTCTCAGCGCGTCGGAGGTCGTGGAAGAGAAGCACGAAGAACCTAGCAGATTCCTTCCCAAAGTGCCGCCCTGCCTCAGCGGGTCTTTGCATCCTGATTTTACTCCATGTGCCTCTAAATACCTGCGTGGGATTAGATGGGGTTCGGTATTTGTCGAGTTGACCTTCCGCTCCACTCTGCGAGGAATGGCCCCCAGCCTTCCGCGGCTTCATTCCGGTGGAGAATGTTCTCGTGTCCCTTGCGGGCAACCAACCTGCTGGCCAGCCGTCTCGCGTTTGCAGCAGAGGCTGACTGTAGCGAACCTACTTGCCACAGTGCTTACGGAAGAGAAAGCCTCTGTGGTGGGTCACGTTACCTGTTACCGTGAGCGTGGGGTGGCCTCTGTCCACACTCTCCGACCTTTCACACAAGTTTCATCGGCCCGGTGCTCCCTGAGCAGTGCCACCAGCCGCTTGTGTCCCCGTCAGCTGTCTGTGAGTCTTTTAAGATCAGGTAGGGAACAGGCTGTGCTGCCAAACGCTGCAGTTACTGGAACGAAGGATCGGCAAGTAGGCCAGGCTGATGGAGACGTGCCATGGCCCAGCAGGCCACGTGCCCCAGGGGGGACTCCTGCAGAGGCCCTTCCCTTTGACATCTCCTCCCCTGCAGCTCCTGAGGCTAAGAATTCTCTTTAATTTGTGAATTTGCTTTTCTTTTTAAAGAGCAGAGAAACTTACCGTTAGGATAATTAGATGTGCTGAATGCACTGTGTGTTGAAAGACGACAGAAGAGGAGAGGATTCCTTAGTCTGGAACAAAAACTGGAGAACTGTGTTTTCAGTAAAATGAAATGTTTAAAGTCAGGCGGCTGTACTCAAGCTCACATTTCTAGCTTCTCTCTAAAACCTGGGTCTGACAGCAGGAGGTCTCCACGCCTGCAGGGGACAGGGCTGGAGCTGGGGCGCTGGTCCTTCAGCCTCCACCCCCGGTGGCCCGGTGGCCCGGGCCCTGCTGGCTGTTGCAGCCTTCTGCCCCATTCCTGCCTCCGGCCCATCAGACGGAGAAGCATCTGAACATGTCCGAGGACGAGGCCAGTGTGGGGGGTGAGGTCGGGGGCAGCGGTCAGAAGGTGGGCGAGCAGCAGGCCCCACGTTTATTTGGGGGTATAATTTGGTTTATTTGTTTTAAATGGAGGTACTGAGGCTTGAACCCAGGACCTCATGCATTCTAGGCATGCACTCTACCGCTGAGCTATGCTTCCCCCATATTCTTTTTCAGATTCTTTTCCATTATAGGTTTTTATAAGGTATTGAATATAGTGCTGTACAGTAGGTCCTTGTTGTTTATCTGTTTTATAGATAGTAGTATATATCTGTTAATCCCATATTCCAAATTCTTCCCCCGTACCTTCCCCTTTGGTAACTGTAAGTTTGTCTTCTATGTCTGTGAGTCTGTTTCTGTTTTGTAAGTAAGTTCATTTGTGTCATTTTTTAGATTCCAGATATGAGTGATATCATACAGTATTTTTTCTTTCTCTTTCTGGCTTAATTCACTTAGAATGGCGATCTCTAGGTCCATCCATGTTGCTACAAATGGCATTGTTTCATTCTTTTTTATGGCTGAGTAATATTCCATTGTATATATTGGCTGCATACATAACCACTTACTAGACAGTTCTTAAAAGCTTATTTACAGAATCCAACATTTGAACCTCAGGAGCAATAGCTAAATATAAATTTATTTGCCTCCTTTTAATCTTTTTATTGATCTCATCAGATGATTATTATGATAACAACAGTTGTCAACCTTTTTGGTCTCAGGACCCCTTACCACTGTCAAAAGTATGGAGGACCCCAAAGACCTTTTGTTTATGTGGGTTGGTACTAATACTTACCATATTAGGAACAGAATTTTTAAAAATATTAATTCATTTAAAAATAACAAACTTATTATTTGCTGACATAAATAACATTTGTGAAAAAAAGTATTTCCAAAAAAATATAGTGAAAAGAGTGGCATTGTTTTGCAATTTTGGAAATCTCTTTAGTGTCTATTTTAAAAAACACAAGGATTGGGAGTGGGGGCAGGAGGGAAAGGGGAGAAATCCGAAACAAGGTGTTCTTGCTCTGACAGTATATTTATCTTGTATACCTGGGGAAAAACCAAAAAACAAAAATTCTGTGTTCAGTTTGTTGCAGTTGAAGTTAAGTACATGAAGAAAACCCATCTTCACATTGATATGCATTGGAAAAGAGGAAAACATTTTAATAGCCTTTTCAGATGTCTGTGAATATCCTTTGATACTTCACCAAAACTCAACAAGTGATGGTTTTTGAAAGGTTAATTGCGATTTGGAATCTGAAACCTTATCAGTGACTTTTCACACTCAGTTACGTGAAGTCCACTGGTCCACCTGGCACTGTGACTGCGTCTTTTGCCCAGGCATGACTTTGTAACATCCTACACTGGCCATTTGGGAAATACTGATTCACAAAGTTATGCAAATCTTCCAAATACTGACGCATGTCATGATTATGCAGAATTAAAAGATCACATTCATTACTGTCACCACTGATCTCCTTAGAAAAACCTTTAAGTATTGCGAAGCTGCCAAGCTCATGATGGTGGTGGATACAAGTTTCCCCAAATTCCAATTTTCACATGAAAGCTCCCATTTTATCATTGGCAGCAAATGCTGTTAGTTGCTTTCCTTGAAGCTCACTTTATTCATTTTCAAGGAAATGTCTGCCAGATCCCCAAGTCTGAATAACCATAGGTTGTCAGTCATCCCTTCAAGTAAAAATGATTGATGATCCGTGGAAAGAGCGGCTGGTTCCCTTGCAGCCCAGCTGCACGGCGCTTTTCCTTGAGACAGACGTGCTATCTGTGCTTCTGAGCCAGCGCGCAGAATGTTAAAAGGGCTGGGATTTAATGAAATCGATCATTTCTGTGCCCCCAGGACATCCTCTGGTGAGCCTGGCATTTTCGCTCCACTCCCCGGGCACGGGATACAGTGGCCACCAGCACGGTCTGGTGTCCGCCCTCCTCCGAGCTCGGGCTCCAGCACTGAGACCCGCTGCCGCGTTTGCACGAGTGCAGACGTCACCCCGGGGACCTAAGTCATTAAGTAACATCTTACTCTGATCATAAAAATTGTTTCGACCTTGCAGAGCCCCTGAAAGCCTCCATAAAAAACGCCAGGGGCTCATGGACCACGCGATGAGAACCACTGATCTATCATCCGAAGCAAATTATGTCAGCCTGCAGAACTCCACCCCAGGTGGTATTCCGGCATTTGCACTGTAGCGGTTGTGCGCGTGCCAGTAACGTGGGGGGTGCTGTCTGC